ATTTCCCTCTCAGACTGCTTTATTTATTTTTTTAAAGGTTATTTATTTATTTATGAAAGAGAGAGCAGCGTGAGTGTGAGGGAGAAGTAGACTCCCCACTGAGTAGGGAGCCCAATGCGGGGCTCAATCCCAGGACCCTGGGATTATGACCCAAGCCAAAGGCAGATGCTTAACTGATCGAGCCACAGAACTGCTTTAGATATGTCCCACAAAGTTTGACATTTTATGTTTTCATTTTTCTTAAGTTCAGTGATTTTTAAAATTTCTCTTGAGACTTCCTTTTTTTTTACATTAGTAAGTATGTACTTTTTTTAAAAATTTTTATTTATTTATTTTTAAAAAAGATTTTATTTATTTATTTGACACAGAGAGAGAGATCACAAGTAGGCAGAGAGGCAGGCAGAGAGAGAGGGGGAAGCAGGCTCCCCGCCAAGCAGAGAGGCCGATGTGGGACTCAGTCCCAGGACCCTGAGATCACGACCTGAGCTGAAGGCAGAGGCTTAACCCACTGAGCCACCCAGGTGCCCTATTTTTATTTTATTTATTTGAGAGAGAGAGAGTGAGTGAACACAAGTGGGGGGGAGGAACATATGAAGAGGGAGGGAAAGAAGAAGCAGACTGCCTGTTGATCGTGCAGCTGGATATAGGGGTCAATCCCAGGACCCCAAGATAATAACCTGAGCTGAAGTCAGACACTCAACCACTCTTAAATGAGTGGTCTCCACTCAGGTGCCCTTGAGACTTCCTTTTTGACCAAAGAATTATTTAGGAGTATGTTGTTTAGTTTCCCAGTATTTAAAATTTTCATTTTCTCTTTCTGTTACTTCTAGTTTGATTCCACTGTGGTCAGATAACATGCTCTGTATTATTTCAGTTCTTTCAAGTTTGTTGGTTTGTTTTATGGCCAAATTATTTTATATCTTACTGTATGTTCTATAGGTACATACAAAGAATGTGTTACTCTGCTACTGAGGGGAGTGTTCCATAACTGTTGATTAAATGGTGTTGGTTGGTAATGTTGAACTCTTATGTATCTTTGCTCATTTTGGCCTAGTTCTATTAATTGCTCAGAGATGCATGTTGAAGTCTCCAACTATAATTGTGGGTTTGTGTATTTCTCCTTTTAGTTCTTTAGGTTTTTTTCTTCACATATTTTTCAGCTTAGTTGTTTGGTGCTTATCCTTTTGGGATTGCTATGTTTTCTTTGTGTATTGACTCTTTTACATTATATGACCCTCTCTGTCTCTGATAATTCTCTTTGCTCTGACATTTATTTTATCTGATATTGATATAGCCACTCTTGCTTTCCTTTAATTAATGTTTGCATGATATATCTATTCCCATCCTTTTGCTTTTAACTTGCCTATATGTTTATGTTTAAATGCTTTTTTTAGACAGCATGTATTGATTCATGTTTTTTAATCAACTCTGCCAATCTTTTTTAATTGGTGTATGTAGACCACTTACATTTAATGTAATTATTGGCATGGTAAGTCTGCCATTTTATTTTTGTTTTCCGTTCTCTATTTTTCATTTATCTGTTTTATTTTCCCCGCCTTCCTGTGGGTTACTTGACAGCTTTTTAGGATTCCATTTTGATTCATTTGTTGTTTTTGAGTGTTATCTGTTTGTATAGACTTTTTTTTTTTTTAATGTATTTTTTTTTTTAAAGACATTTATTCATTTGACAGAGAGATCACAAGCAGGCAGAGAGGCAGGCAGAGAGAGAGGAGGAAGCAGGCTCCCTGCCGAGCAGAGAGCCCGATGCGGGGCTCGATCCCAGGACTCCGAGATCATGACCTGAGCCGAAGGCAGCGGCTTAACCCACTGAGCCACCCAGGCGCCCCTGTATAGACTTTTTAATGATTGCTCGAGGTATTACTCTTATATAATAATTTATATAATAAAACTTTTCACAGTATACTAGTGTGCCATTTTACCAGTTGAGTGAAGTATAGAAACCTTACCTTCCTTTACCTTCTCCCATTCATAATATAATTAATTTAAATATTATCTCTATGAACTTTTGTTTTTTCTTTTTTATTTATTTTTTTAAAGATTTTATTTATTTAGAGAGTGAGAGAGAGAGTGGAGAAGGGACAGAGGGAGAGGGAGATGGAGGATCTCAAGTAGATTCTCCACTGAGTGTGGAGCTTGAGTGGGGCTCGATCTCACAACCCTGAGACGGTGACCTAAGCTGACATCAAGAGTTGGAAGTTCAGCCAGCTGAGTCACTGAGGTGGCCCCTCCTCTGAGTACATTTAGAACTGAATCAGACAGTGTCATAATTTTATCTTCAACCATGAAACGTATTTTAGAAAACCCAAGAGAAGAGGGAAAACCTATTGTATTTACGATGTTTTTGCTATCAATGTTGTTTTTATCTTCCTGATTTTCCAAACTTCCTTTTTTTGTACTGTTTCCTTTTATGTTTGAAGACCTTTTACAACTGTTCTTTTTTGTTTGTTTGTTTGGAGAGAGAGAAAGGGAGGGAGAGCTCTGGAGGCAGGGAAGGGCAGAGGGGAGAGGGACAGAATCTTAAACAGACTCTGTGCTGAGTGCAGAGTCTGTCATAGGATGCCGAGCCCACATAGGGCTGGATCCCAGAACCCCAGATCATGGCCTGAGCCAAAGTGAAGAATCAGCTGCTTAACTGACTGAGCCACCCAGACGTCCCACTTTTTTTTTTTTTTAAGATTTTTATCTATCTATTTATTTATTTATTTATTCATTCCAGAGAGAGAGCATGAGAGTGGGGGTGCGGAGGGGAGCAGAAGGAGAGGGACAAGCAGACTTCATGCTGAGAGCACAGAGCCCAATGTGGGACTTGATTTCACGATCCCAAGATCATGACCTGAGCCAAAATCATGAGTCAGACGCTTAGCTGACTGAGCCACCAGACTTCCCTACAGCCATTCTCTCAGTTTTCCTTTACCTGAGAACATACTGATTTCCCCCCTCATTCCTGAAGATTTTTTGGTCATAGGATTGTTGATTAAGATATTTTTTTCAGTCCTTGAAACTAGTGTGCCATTTTCTCCTGACCTTCCTGATTTCTGATGAAAAATCTGCTTTTTATTCAGGGTATTTTCCCCTTATAAGTAAGGTATCTTTTTTTTTTTTTTCCCTCTGACTTGAAAAGATTTTTTCTTTGCCTTTAGTTATCAGAAGTTTAATTATGATGTGTCTTGGCATGATTTGCGGGTCCATCCTGTTTGGAATTTGCTCAGCTCCTTGAAACTGTGCATTTATATCTTTTGTAAAATTCGTTAAGTTTTCAGCCATTATTCCTTCGAGTACTTTTGCAAGTTGCCTACTTTCTCCTGTCCACCTGGAATTCTGATAACATGTATGGGTGAGGTAACTTTTCATAGGCTCCCATCTAGCCTAGTTGTCTGTGCTCTTTCAGTTAGAATGCCTGGGTTCATACAATAAATCAGACTTGATGATCTTCACTAGCTAATAATGACCTCTTTATTTTGGCTGAGGGATTCCCCAAGTTTCCTCAACTGCCTCCAGGTATGGAGAGGATATTATAGCCAAAGTGCCTGTCTGTGTCCTGGGGAGAAAGAGTTGGCAGCCACTCTGGCTATTTTGAAATCATTTCCTCTTCTTTCTTGTGTAATGTTCTCTTGACCTAGATGTCATGGAGTACTCGTTTGCATTCAGAAAATACTTGCCTGTGTAAAAGACTGTGGCAGACAGCAGCCCACAAGGAGTTAGCAGAAGGGGCAATTCCTCCTGGAACATGACTAACTGAGAGGCAGGTGCCGTGGGAGGCCCTGTGATACTGAGGGAGCTCGGGGAGGGGAGGGTATGTTTCCCACTGGAGGTAGGGAAGTGTCATGGAAGATGTGGCATTTCAGTGTGAACTCTTGAGGGCCTTGCGGATGTCCCATGTGAAGATGGGAAGAAAGGACATTTAAGGCGAATGGTGAAAGCAAAGTCACCAAGGTGGAAAAGCCCGGGATATATTGGACTGCGGGCAATGAGGAGCAGTAACAGAAGAAGTGAGTTGACCCAGGCTCTGGAGGGCCTGAAATGTCCCCACTAAGGATCTAACTTGTATTTGGTAGGAATTAAGTGTTTTTGTAAAGCAGCTACATTGCTAGGATTGGGAAGCCCTAAGAGCCATGTGGGAGTGTCTTCCATCTGTCACAAATTTGGGTTCATTTCCAGAAGTAGGAGGAGGCTAATATTTGAGTACCTCTCTCTTATGTGGCAGAGAACAACCTCCATACACTTTCAGTTAATTTTCAGCAAAACCCCCTTAGTAGTGTTGGAGGGTAGTGTTGCCATTTTATAACGAGAACACAGAGAATTAAGTTATCTGACCACAGAGAGTGATTTCTTCTCTCCCAAATTCTCTTCCTTGCACAGGAAGGACTGTTCCCTGCCCAGAGAAGCTTCTCCCAGCTCCCTCCATGGAGCACATTCTTTCTTCCTCCTTTCCTTCCACCAGACATTTGGAATGTTAGGAAGGTTCCTTAAAACCATGTTAAGGGCAAGATGGCATTCATACTCCTGGACCTCAAGGTCACTGTTGTCCTTGGGTAGCTCAGCATCCATCTTCCCATCATTGCCTGAGGGAAGTATATACTCCCTTTTCATGCTCTCATGGTATCAAAGCTGGCAGGAACCTTAGAGATACTTAGTCCAACTCCTTGGATTGGGTGTGCCTTCTTCGAGGCTGGGAAAACGGCGGTGCGTGCAATGTGCTATAATCTGAGGATCAGGGTGGCTAGCCCCTCTGGAGCTCCATGGAGCAGCATGCTGGACAGTCTCTGGCGTGGCATCAAGAGCACGGTCAGAGGCCCCAGGGACATCCTGCCACCCAGGAGTGACTACTGTTAGGCAAGCTAATGTCCCCTTTCCAGACCTCAGCTTTTCTGTCCAGTGGTGCTGAGAAGGCCCACTCCACAGGGCTGGCAAAAGCGTCCCTGGGCCAGTCCCGGACGGTGAAGGTAAGGGGTTATTGTTGCTGTCATTGTCATTATTAGGGCAGCGTGGACATTCTCAGGCTGACTCTACAGAGAGAACTGACAGGAGATGAACTTGAACACTTAGCCCAGAAGGTAGGGAGGTTTCTGGCGGGGTGAGGCCTGTCCCTCAACCAGTTCTCCTTCCTTGCTGCTGACTTCCCATGCCAGTGCTGCCGGGAGCCAACTCTGCTGCTGCTCAGGATCACCTTTCAGACACACCACCTGACCGCGGCGTTGTGCACGGCTTTGAGGCAAGGGGAGACCCCACTGAAAGTGAAACTAACCTGCAATTTCTGCTAATTTTCCCTGTCCGGCGTTGCTGCTGTGTGGCTTCTGGTAGAGGTTCTGAAGTGAATTTTATTGGGGAAATCAGACTAACCCTTTACATCTTCTGAGGAGCAGGTATTCTGCATTGGGCAAGGGGCACATGTTCCGGGCTTGTCATGATTTCTGAGCCATTTTTCTCTCTCTCTTTCTGGCAGGCGGGCAAGAAGACCTATGCCATGGTTTCTGGCCGCTCGACCAGTCATTCCCTGGCCTCAGAACTGGTGGAGTCCAATGACGGACATGAAGAGATCATTAAGGTAAGCTTAGTTCACCTGCACTCTCTCTCTCTCTCCTCTCTCTCCTTATAGGCCTGCGAGAGGGAGCAGCTGAATTTGCCACAGGGTTTGACTAGGAGGAACCTGACCTGGAATGTTAGTTCCTGGGTATTTTCCTGCAAAGATCTTAATTAGCACCAGGAGACCACAGTGTGGTGACTTTGGTGCAACCCAACCCCAGGCAAGAGAATGGATGAGAGGACCTTTCCAGGTGCCTATCCCACTATCCATATTTAGCTGCTGGAGGTTGTGAAGATAGGTAGGAGGTGTGTTTAGGGAACTTAGTATTTTTTTTTAATAAAGCAATTTTTGTTTTTTCTTTTTTTTTTTTTAAGATTTTTTAAAAAATTTATTTATTTGACAGACAGAGATCACAAGTAGGCAGAGAAGCAGGCAGAGAGAGAGAGGAGGAAGCAGGCTCCCTGCCGAGCAGAGAGCCCCATGTGGGGCTCGATCCCAGGACCCTGGAATCATGACCCGAGCCGAAGGCAGAGGCTTAACCCACTGAGCCACCCAGGCGCCCCTGTTTTTTCTTTTTAAAAAGCAGCTCTTTGCGGTATAATTCATATACCATACAATCGATTCAGTTAAAGTGTACAATTCAGGTTTTTAGTATGTTCACAGAATTGTGAGATCATCACCACTCTTAATTCCAGAACATTTTCGGTCACTCCTTTCTGCTTCTGGCAGTCACCAATCTATTTTCTCTGTCTCTGTGGGTTTGCCTCTTCCAGGCAGCTCACGTAAATGGAATCCTAGAACATGGGACCTTTGTGTCTGCCTTCTTTCACTTAGCATAATATTTTCAAGATCCAGTCATGTTGTAACATATGTCAATACTTAATCCTTCTCATGGTTCAATAACATTCCCCTGAATGGATATATATCACATTTTGTTACCCACTCATCAGTTGATGAACATTTGGGTTGTTTCCACTGTCTGGCTGTTATGAATATTCAAGAGCAGGTTTTTATGTGGATGTTTTTGGTTTTCTTGGTACCCACCTAGGAGTGGAATTGCTAGGTCATTTGGTAACTCTGTATTTAATCTTTTGAGGACCTACCAGACTTTTTCTCAAAACATTTGTTCCATTTTGTACTCCCACCAGCAAGGTAGGAGGGTTCCAGTTTCTTTGTATCCTTACTGATACTTGTTATTATCTGTCTTTTTGATTATAGCCATCCTATTGCACGTGAAGCCATGTCTTGTGGTCTCCTGGTGCTAATTAAGATCTATTTTCTAGATATAAGGGTTCCTTATACATTCTGGATACTAACTAGACTCTTATGATATATATGACTTGGAAATATCTAAAAATATTTTCCCATTCTTTGTTTTGTTTTTTACTTTCTTTCTTTCTTTCTTTTTTTTAAAGATTTTATTTATTTGACAGAGAGAGAGATCACAAGTAGACAGAGAGGCAGGAAGGCAGAGAGAGGGGGAAGCAGGCTTCCTGCTGAGCAGAGCTTGATCCCAGGACCCTAAGATCATGACCTGAGCTGAAGGCAGAGGCCTAACCCTCTGAGCCACCCGGGCACACCTTGTTTTTTTACTTTCGTAATGATGTCCTTTGAAACAAAAGTTTTTAATTTGATGAAATCCAATTTATGTATTTTTTTTCTCTTGTTGGGTTTTTGGTGACATATCTAAGAAGGTTTTGCCTAACCCAAGGTCACAAAGATTTATTCCTATATTTTCCTCAAAGAATTATAGTTTTAGCCCTTTTGAATAGGCCTATAATCCATTTTGGGTTAATTTTTGTGTATGGCATAAGGAAGAGGTCCAATTTCATTCTTTTCCATGTGGATCTCCATTTATACCAACATCATTTGTTGGAAAGACTATTCTTTCCCCATTGAATTATCTTGGCATACTGTCAAAAATCAGTTTAGGATATTTTTATTGTGTTATTATTGTTTCTGGACTCTCAGTTGTATTCCACTGATTTATGGGTCTCCTAATGCCAATTCCACACTGACTTGATTACTGTAGCTTTGTTATTTTTGTTAACATTTTGTTAATACTGAGGCGCCTGGGTGGCTCAGTCCATTAAGCGTCTGCCTTCAGCTCAGGTCTTAATCTCAGGGTCCTGGGATCGAACTCCGCATTGGGCTCCCTGCTTAGCAGAGAGTCTGCTTCTCCCTCTGCCTGATGCTCCCCCTGCTTGTGCTCACTCTCTCTCTCTCTCTGACAAATAAATATAATCTTTTAAAAAAATTGTTAATATTTATTAGTATTTGTAATTTTGTTATTTTTCAGGATTATTTTAGCTATTCAGAGTCCTTTGTATTTCCATATGAATTTTAGGATCAGTTTGTCAGTTTCTGCAAAGAAGCCACCTTCGATTTTCATAAGAATTATATTGAGATTATAGATCAATTTGGGGAGTATTCATCTGTTTTTTTTTTTTTAATTCCATATGTAAATGAAATTGTATGCTATTTGTCTTTCTCCAGTTGACTTATCTCACTTAGCATAATACCCTCTAGTTCTATCCACGTAGTATTTTTTCTTTTTGTTGCTATTGTAAATAGAATTATTTTTAAATTTCATTTCAGATTGTCGCTTGCTAGTGTCTAGAAATAGTTTTTTTTTTTTTTTTTTCGTATATTGATCTTATATCCTACAACCTTGCTACAACCTCTAATAGTTTTGGAGTGGATTCCTTGGCGTATTCTTTTTTTTTTTTAAACATTTTTTTTTTTATTTTATTTATTTATTTTTTTTAATTTGACAGACAGAGATCACAAGCAGGCAGAGAGGCAGGCAGAGAGAGAGGAGGAAACAGGCTCCCCGCTGAGCAGAGAACCCGATAAGGGGCTCCATCCCAGGACCCTGGGATCACAACCTGAGCCGAAGGCAGAGGCTTTAATCCACTGAGCCACCCAGGCACCCCCCCCTTGGCGTATTCTATATAAATGATCACTTCATCTGCAGATGGAGATAGTTTTTCCTTTTTCTTTTCAATCTGAATGCCTTTAATTAATTTCTGTTTCTTATTCAAAGTCATTGCATGGCCCTTAGAGAAAGCCAAACCACCCCATAATTCTATCAATGTAGTCATTGTTGTTATTACTTTGTTGCGTATCCTCTCAGACATTTTCCTTCGTGTGTGTATTTTTTCAAAAGTTAAATTGTATCGTATATATTCTGTCCTACAATTTGCTTGTCCCCCCCAACAATGTAATGCTTTAAATGTTGGTTTGTAACATCATCTGTGTCCATAAATGTAAATGTCTGGTATTCTAATGACTGCATAGTATGCTATTATAGACATACCACAATTTAAGTAATCCCCCATTGTGGGACATTATACCTGTTTCCATTTTTGTAGTCATAAACAATATTTTGCTGAACATGTTACTACATTGTGGATGTTTTTTATAATACAGTAATAAATATTTTCTTTATTGTGAAAGAGTCAAGCATGTATAGAGAAAAATGTGTAAATCTCTTTTTACAACTTCCTTTGCATAAATTTACATATATATATGAGTGTTTATGCCAGTTTGGCTAAATTTATTTCCTTAGGATAAATTTCCAGAAGTAGATTGGGTAGGTCAAAGAGTCAGTATCGTTCTCAGCCTTCTGATTTCAGTGGTCGAATCGGCATGCAGAAAGGCAGTCAGTTTACCTTCCCAGCAGCAGTGTATGAGCCTGCCCGTGTACCATGAACTCACCAGGGGGTTCCGTAACTGAGTGGTGCTGTTTTCCTTATTGCAGGTGTACCTGAAGGGGCGGTCTGGGGATAAGATGATCCATGAGAAGAATATCAAACAGCTGAAGAGTGAGGTGCAATACATCCAGGAGGTGGGCCCCCATCCCTCTGTGGGAACCTCCCATGTTTTTGACTCCCTTCTTTTGTAGGGTCTGGTTCTCTCTCATCTGCTCCCTTCATCCCCAAAGTGCCACCAGGGCCCTTGGTGTCAGGTATCATTTCCTGCCCTTCCATCAGTCAGCCAATCCATTCACCAACAGTAGTTACTTACTACCATGTGCATAGCACTGTACTACCCCAGACATCATCTCTAAGACTGCCGGTCTTTTTTCCCCCACTTTTCCTGACCCTCCCCTATAGCTCTTGTTGGCTCCTTGGCCCTTGTCATCATGTAATAACATATTACATGTTTCATGTGTTTGCCTTTCGCGTTGTGTGTCTCTGCAACAAAAATGTTCGCTCTGGCAGGCAGGGCTTCCTGTTTGTGTAGGAGGGACTTGCCTGGGGTCCCTCCTGCCCCCAGCCAGTGCTGAGGGCAGGACCTGGCTCACAGGAGGATGGGGCGGGGATGGTCACAAAGCTGGGTGAGGTGGTATGCTCTCTTTCCTTTTCCCAAAGCTCAGGCTTCTTGCCCTCCCCTCCCAGGCCCGGAACTGCCTGCAGAAGCTCCGGGAGGACTTAAGTAGCAAGCTTGACAGAGATCCGGGAGATTCTCTCCGTGGACAGGAGATACAGGTAATAGGAAATGGTTGATGGTCGGATCCTCATGGAAGAGGTTGTTCCGGGCAGTCCCTTTTGCCAGTCGAGTTGTGGGTGTGGAGTCTCCCACCACTGCCAGGAAAGGCGCGAATACAGGCAATATTGGCTTTCTCAGAGCACTCACTACCTTCGTAGTGCTCTCCAGCTGGTGGGTACTGGTGTTTACACCTATCAGCCTATAGGAAGTATACATGTTCCCAAAGCAGTGTGTAAAAACAGAACTTATGTAAATAAAATTACCATTAAGTTATTGGTGAAAACCTCTTCCCTGCGAGGATTCTGTGATCGGTCTTTTTGCAACATGGAGTCTCATGAAGCAGACACTTGCCTATAAATGTAAACTTCTCATAAGTCGATCTTGCTTAACTGGGGTGGCACCATGGTGTGAATTGGAGGTCTTGGTCCTTGTGTGTTATTTGTGTATTTAGCTGTCTCTACCCAGGCACCAGAAGCTCCCTGAGGTTAGGGTTCATCCCACCCTGTGTCTCTGTAGCCCCACACTCAACACAGGGTCAACAATGCAGAAGGTCATCAGTAAATGTCACACTGAACCTATTGGAGAGGTCTTCTTGAGATGGATGAGTAACCCTGGGATCTTGCTTTTTGGCTTTTCTAAAATTGGAGGCTAGAAGTGTGCTCAGGAGAACAGACCTGTCCCTTCCATTTCACCCTCATCCTCCTTTAGATGTTGAGTTGTATCTCCTTCATCTGTGTTTTGTTTGGGGAGTGGTGGGGGCTAGTCTTTTTCCAGCAGCCCCTGCCCTCATTCTCCTAAGGGAAACAGTGACCTGGAAGCTAATGGCAGCAAGGTTCCTCTCTGGCGTGAGCATGGATGATGCTTGTGTGGTGTTTCCCCCTAATTCATTTTGCTGTGATGGAAGGTAGGACTTTCACTGCCCGAGCTCACATCTGGTGGCTGGGAGGTGCTTTGTGAGGTGACTGAAGAGCCTGATGTGCCCAGAGACAGGCCCGAAAATCCAGGGCCCTTGCTTGCACAGACCAGGAGTCATATGATGAATAATCAGGCTTTGGGCTGGAAGGGATTACAGCAAAGGCCGCTTTGCCTTCCGCTTTATGCTTCATCAAACCTTGTCAGGATCACTGAGGGGCAATGGAAGCTCTTTGTTGGTGACAGGCAGTTGCATGTATTCCCTGGGCTTCCAGGAGTCAGCCTGCATGTTGTTCTGTGTGCTGAAAGGTTTTAGCCTGGAGTTCCCCTCATCTTCTCCACAAGGCTAGATAGAGTATTCCCTTCCAAGGCCACACACGTTTCTCCACTGCCTGTCCTCTCCATTTTCCACAGAGCGCTCAAAGTCTTTTTTCTCTTCCTGCCTGCCCTCCTACTTGCCTTCCTTCCTTTTCTTCTTTCTCTTCCTCCTTCACTTCCCCTTCCCCTTCTTTCTCTATCTTCTCCACCTCTTTCTTTTATTCTGAGATTTGAGTTCTTTGGATATTAAATGTTTCAAAGTTGGTTGTTTGGGCTGTTTTAACTATTGATTTTATTTTCCTTTGAACAGGTGGTGTTAGAAAAGCCAAATGGATTAAATCCAAGCTCCACAACACAGTATAGCAGCCCACCTGAGGTACGTAATAGGGAAAATGGTAACTACTTCACTGCCAAGAGGCAGGATAGCTTCCTCCCTGATCCCCTTGTTATCACTCTTCCTCTCTCACTAAAGGTAAGAGTAAAGTTTCTGTGAAAATCCAAACAGAGAAACAATACAAACTGGAAATTCTCCTTGCCCAGTTCCACTCCTTTGAAGGATCCACTGTTAACAGATTGAAGTGGGTGGATCCTTTTAGATCAGTGCTCTTGGCCTTTGCTGCTGATTAAAATGGCTCTGGGAGCTTTCAGGAGACAAGCCTGGTGTCAGCCCCAGAGATTGTAATTTAATTGGTCTGAGACGTGGACTGGGCATTGGGACTTGAAAAAGCTCTTCAGGGGGAGCCTTGCTGGCTCAGAGGGTAGAGCATGCAACTTTAATTTTATTTAATTTTCTTTGTTTATCTATCTATCTATCTATCTATCTATCTATCGAGGGGGCCTGTGGAGAGAGAGAGTGGGAGAGAGAATCTTAAGTAGGCTTCACAGTCAATGTGGAGCCTGACTTGGGGCTCATTCTCACAACCCTGAGATCATGACCTGATCGGAAATCAAGAGTTGGAGGCTTAACTGATTGAGCCCCCAAGACACTCTGAGCATGCAACTTTTGATCTTGGGGTTGTGAGTTTGAGCCCCATGTGGGGTGTGGAGATTACTTAAGAATAAAATCTTAGAAAAAAGAGAATATATCTCTTTAGGGGATTCTAATGTCTAGCTAAAGCTGAGTATGTTTTTCTTTTCTTTTCTTTTCTTTTCTTTTCTTTTCTTTTCTTTTCTTTTCTTTCTTTCTTTTTTTTGGTAATCTCTACATCCAATGTAGGGCTCAAATTTGCAACTCCAAGATCAGGAGTCTCATGCTCTTCTGACTGAGCCAGCCAGGCACCCCTCTAGTGTATTTTTCTATACATAGACCACCTTATCTAAATAACATATGCCTATTTGTTTGTATATAAATATATACATACATACCATTGACACATGTATAAATACATGTGTATAATATACACATACTTTGCACAGATTCAGGGTCATGATAAATACATTATTCCTTGCTTGCTTTTCAATTTTTTTTAAACTGTAGCTTCCATCAACGTAAAGTTTATTAAATTTATAGCCTTCTGTCTATGTTAGTACATGTAGATCTACCTCCTCCTTTTGAATAATGACATAGTGGTATTCCTTTCCATGGCTGTCCTTGTTTATTTATTTATTAAAATTCCAGTATGGTTAACATACAGTGTCACATTAATTTCAGGTGTATAATATAGTGACTCAGCAATCCTATGTATTGCCCAATGCTCATCCTGGCTATCCTTTTTGAAAAAAATCCCCCAGCTTTATTGAGGTATAAGTAAGAAATAAACATGGCTATCGTTGTTAGGAAAAAAAGGGGGCGGGGGCTTTGTTATTACCTTTTGTGATTATGTAATAAGATATGCTTATCATAGAAAATTTAGAAAATTCAGAAACAAACGTGAAAGAAGAAAAAATGTCATTTGAATCTACCCAGAGAAAAGCCAGTTTTTTTTTTATTAACATATAATGTATTATTTGTTTCAGGGGTATAGGTCTATGATTCATCAGTCTTACATAATTCATAGCACTCACCACAACACATACCCTCCCACCCTCTTCCCTACCAGCAATCCTCAGTTTGTTTCCTGAGATTAAGAGTGTTTTATGGTTTGTCTCCCTCTCTGGTTTCATCTTGTTTTATTTTTCCCTCCCTTCCCCTATGATCCTCTGCCTTGTTTCTCAAATTCCTCATATCAGATTATATAATAATTGTCTTTCTCTGATTGACTTATTTCGCTTAGCATGATACCCTCTAGTTCCATCCATGTTGTTGCAAATGGCAAGATTTCATTTTTTTGGTGGCTGCATAATATTCCATTGTATATGTATATATAGCAAATCTTCTTTATCCATTCATCTGAAAAACGACAGTTTTAAATGCAAATGTGTGTTATAATATCGAGATTATACTGTATATAGCATTTCTTTCTGTTTGTTTCTTTTGTCTGGGTGGGCTTTTTTGTTTTGTTTTGTTGTTGGATTGTTTTTTTATGGCTCTGGAGTGCAGGTCTAAATCAGATCTACCCATCCATTAGGGCATATTATCATCTCTGGTCTCATAATGACCTTTTACTTTTTTTTTTTTTTTTTTTATTCTGCCTACCCTGCCAAAAAGTATACATTCTAATATATTCAATGTATGGCTTAGCTAGGTCTGTGTTTTCAATTTTCATGATGAATTTTGTTTTCCTTTTTACCCAACACCATGTTCTTAGGATCTATCCACACTGCTGTACTTAAATCTGGTGTGTTTCTAACTCCTACATGCAGAGTTTTGTAACTAACTTTTTTCTCTTCATATTATACCATGAACATTTTCCATGTCATTAAATAACCTTATTAGAACACCGTCTGAAATAAGCACATAGTGGTTTGCTCCAGGAGCTTTTAAATTGTTTTCACCTGCGGGGCGCCTGGGTGGCTCAGTGGGTTAAGCCTCTGCCTTCAGCTCAGGTCATGATCTCAGGGTCCTGGGATCGAGTCCCGCATCGGGCTCTCTGCTCGGCGGGGAGCGTGCTTCCCTCTCTCTCTCTCTCTCTCTCTGCCTGCCTCTCTGTCTACTTGTGATCTCTCTCTGTCAAATCAATAAATAAAATCTTAAAAAAAAAAATTGTCTTCACCTGCTCAGCAACTTAGGTATGGATCAAGGGCCATGAACTGGATAACTTCTTGATGTCTAGAGTTTGGCATGTTGTGATTCTAGCTGCTCACTCTAGATGTGCAGCTTGAATTTTTTCCCTTCCCCTGAATCACCATAGTTGGTAACAGGTTATAATAACATCTGGTACTATTTGTTCAGCTTTTTCTCCTCACGAGCTCTAAGCCCTGCCAGATATTATCTTATATTTGAGTCAGCCTGTGAGGCAGGGCATGGTAAGGCATCTTCTCGCTGCTTCACAAAGGCCCACTGGACTCAGTGATGGTGCAGCGACTAGGGCCCTGCGGCCCGCCTCCCAACTGAGAGCTCCGTGCTTCCTAAAGTGCAAGACAGGGAAAGATTTTTCTGTCAGACTTGCTGGGAGCTGGTAACTGGGGGCAAGACCCCACATGCCAGCACAGTGCTAACCACCAACCCACGACTGGGTGTGTCTGGGGAGAGACTTGTGGTAACCTCGATGAAGAATTGAATCAGATTCCTTGTAGTTGGTTGGGTGTTTTTGCTCTAAACCTGCCTGTCCATCAGTAACCCTCTGTGTGCTGGTCTCTGTGCTAGCTGCAGAGAAGACCAAAACGTTGTGCCTTTGGGGTGCACCCCTCCTGGTGGGTGTGGCCCAGTCCCTGCCCTTGCGGTACTGTGGTCTAAAGGGGAACACGGTCCCCCCTCTCGGAGAACTCGTCTAATGGAAGCAGGACCTACAGGTGAGGATGGCATCAGCCTACCTGTTAATCCATTGATACCTGTATAAAAATTACTGGGTGTGTCCTAAAATCATAAGGTGAGTTGAGGCTAGTTGAGTTCCCCAGGATATGAAGAGTGTTTTCGTGTGAATAACTCAGTGGTCTGGACAAGAGGGCCCACCTGTGTGTTGCAGGGAACCTCCTCTTACACAAACACGGGGCCTTCACCTTCTTTTCCCTGCTCTGACTGTAGGTAGATGCCTACATAAGCGAAGATGCCGAGAGCTTGAGGAAGACTGTGCGGGACCTGCTTGTCAAGCTGCGGGAGGCTGAGCGGCAGCACCAGTCAGACCGAGTGGCTTTTGAGGTAAGATTCGGGGTCCGAGGAGAAAGCACCCCAAGGGTTGGGCTGCTGAATATAGGCCATGACTTAGCATGGACTTCATGTCTTTCTGGCCATGTGCCAGCCCCTAGAGAGGCCAGGCTTTGAGGCCTGGGCACTTTCCTGTCTGCTTTTCGCATTCCTGGGCATTTATAGTTTTTGCTGTTCAAGTCGAGTCCATGGTTTAAAGGTTGGCACTTGTTTCTCTGCTGAAGTTGAGTGGTAGTGCTGGTCTGGGATAGCGGGTAACTCAGGGGCTGTTACTCTTACCACAGTAAGATTTACTGGGCTCTAGGCAGCTCACAGGCAGGGACTGTTGCTGTCAAGGTCACCCATGTCTGGCATAACATCTGACGTAAAGTGGGTACCTCTTAAATGTGGACTGGATAAGTGGGTGAAAGATCTGTGCCCACGGAGTCAGAGGACTTTTTGAAGTCAAGTCTTGATTTTATATGCAGAGCTTTGTGATTTGGAATGAGTATTTCAATTATTGTTATAAAAGTAATACCAAATTATTATGGAAGATTAAAAAAGTACAAAAGTCTATTGAGAGTGAAAGCCCCCCACAATTTAAAACTGTGTGAGGTCTGCCATACTTTCCAGAAAATTCTTTGAGTATAAAATGAGGTACACTGGGAAGACACTAGGCTTTTGCATGAGATTAACCATCTGTTATCTGCTATTGTTCATCCACGTGTAAAGAATTTCTGTGTCATAAATATGTAATGATAGGCTGTGCCCTGCCCAGGCATGCCAGGAGCTGGTGGTAGGAAGACTGAATGCTTCTCTTCTGTGGGACTAAGAGAGAGAATTTTTAAGAGGGATATTGAGGGGGCAGAAGAAGGCACAGGGCTAATCAATTGCCTTTAGAGATGATCAATTATTGGAGCAAGTAATTTAACCTAAGTATCAGTTCCAAATTATGTAAAAAGTGGTCATTTTAAATATACAAGTGTGGTATGTGAATTGAGAGGTAAGAAACATACGTACATATATTCCTCCGTAGGATTTTAGAAACATAAGATAACCCTGTATTTTTCTTAGTGATCAATTTAGTTAAGCGGGTTTTGCTATCCTAAATAGCTTGGACTTCACGTGATACTGTGACAAGTTTGTTCTTGGAACAAAGTAGTTGTGCAGTAAAGGAGTTCGCCGCATCTGTTTCAGAACCCACAATTTGGATAAGTGGGTTGACAATGGATCATTTTGGTGATCAGCTGCTCCCTACCTTCCTGGTACACACCAGGAGGAAGGGAGGCTGAGGCTATAGCACTGACCAGACTCTGAATTTTGGAAAGAAATTTCTTTCTTTTTTTTTTTTTTTTTGGTAAAGATTTTATTTATTTAATGACAGAGAGACACACAGCGAGAGAGGGGACACAAGCAGGGGGAGTGGGAGAGGGAGAAGCAGGCTTTTTGCCAAGCAAGGAGCCCCATGCGGGGTTCGATCCCAGGCCCCTGGGATCATGACCTGAGCTGAGGCAGATGCTTACACCACTGAGCCACCCAGGTGCCCTGGAAAGAAATTTCTACACTGAGAGGTGTTATGAAGCACTTGTTGGTTTGGGCCATCTGTGGGGGGGGGGGGGGCGGTCTGCTAGCTCTGGGTCTCAGTGCTTGAACAAAAGGGTCCAGAGTGAAATCCTAAGGCCAGAAGGTCCCTGACTTCTGTAGCCACCTGCCCCCAGTTTCCCAGAAGGGGCTGGCCTTAATAAGCAGCCACTGCCTGCAGTCAGAGGTGCTGTTTCTGCTGTTGGGGTAGGTTGGCACACCTCTCAGGATTAAGAGGCTCCTTCGGGGCATTGCTGACTGGAGCAACAGGGACAAATGTGGCAGAGGAGTATGTTTTTTTTTCCTTTGTGATCCCACGGCAGAGTGAGGATCAGTCCATGACCCATTAACGCTGTGCTCTGAGGACACACCAACCTGCGTGCAGTGTTAGGTACAGAAGTGAGAGCTTTTGTTTTTATGTTCCTGTCCATGGGGCTAGCCTGTTCCAGGCTAAAAAGGGACTTTTGGAGGCTTTTCTCCGTCTTTCTAGTGAATGAAACTCTCTGATCTACATTTCTATAAAGGGGGTAGCAAGGGCAAGATTGTCAATGACAGTGAAAACAACCTGCCAATGAGCATGGGTTTTCTGTTCTATCAGCAGCAGCCTGCTGTCAGGAAGGGTTCGCAGAGAGTTGGCTCTGCACAGGGCTGGTGTGCAGCATGGATGTGTCTCATCACATGTCCTCCTGAGCTTTGCTTTCTCTTCTCTGAGTCTGACTTTGGGAGGGGTCAGACAAACTGGTGACTTTGGTGTTCTGTTTTCCCAGGGCTGCGTGGACTTTTGAGAGGTTATATGGATTCTTCTGTAGCAACCGACTGGGGAGTCAGTGTGGGGTATCTAGGAAGAACTGAGATGAATAATGAAGTCATTGTGTTCTAGCATTGGCTCTGTTATTCCCTAGCTCTGTACCTTGGGTAAATCAGTTGACCTTTAGTTGCAAAAGGAGAGGATTAGACTAGATGAGTACCAATTCTTCTTATGACATTAGCGAGCAGTAAGTGTGTGCTAGGTACCGGGCTGAGCTCTGGAAATATAATGGTTCTTGCCGATGGCCCACTGGGGCGTGCACACAAGTGACTGGGCAAAATCCCCTCAGTGCTCTAAGAAGGAAGGCCACACAATGGAAGGACTACTCACCAGGCATGGAGGCTTCTGGAAGAAAGGATATCTAAGCTGAGACCTGAAGTTGGCATGCGGGAGGAAGGGAGGCAAGTTCTTCCTTAATTTTTCATTCTAAAATTCTGCTTCTTTCTCTCCCAAATTGGCTGTCATCTTGGAAATGGAACAATTCTTCCTGGTGCCCTTCTAGGTGCTATTTTGTCCTTTTTATGCAGGCTGCGGTATTGCTTGATGTGAGGGTGAGGAAGTGTGGGAACACAGAAGGAAGGATGTGGAGATATGCTCCCCCGGATTCTTTGTCTTTGCATTTATAGGAAAGTCACAGCCCTGGGTTAATCTTGGGTGGCACTGGCCAACTGGGGGCGGGGGCAGAGGAGATATTGACAAAGTCCACCATCTGGAAAGCGCTAATGGGTTCCAGATGTCACTCTAAAGTAGAGCTGGATCAGGGGGCCTGGGTGGTGCAGTCAGTTAAGTGTCTGACCTGGTTTCAGCTCAGTTCGTGATCTCAGGGTCATGAGATCGAGCCTGGTGTCCAGCCCTACACTCAGTGTGAAGTCTGCTTAAGACTCTCTCTCCCTCTCCTTCTGCCCCTCCCCACACCCCAACCCCTTGCATGTTCTCTCTCAAATAGATAAATAAATCTTTAAAAATTTTTTTAAAAATACAGCTTGATCAACTATGTGCCAGTGAACCCTGGAAGTAGAGATACCTGCTGCTTTCCCAAGTCATCCTAGAACCATGAATGGGAAAGAGGGGGGGTGCCTCCCTTCCCCCATCACTGCGCCCTGGGCCCTGGGTCCTGGGTTCTCTCCTAAGGTTTTTATCCACGTTTGCTCTTTCCCCTCCATCCCCTTCACCCATCTGCATCCTGTCTTAGGTCACACTCAGCCGGTACCAGAGAGAAGCAGAACAGAGTCAAGTGGCCCTTCAGAGAGCAGAGGACCGAGTGGAGCAGAAGGAGGCTGATGTCGGAGAGCTCCAGAAGCGCCTGCTATGCATGCAAGCGGTAATAGTTGGAGTCCTGCCTTCAGGGCCTAACTCCTGCACTGGGGGAAGGAGGGGGTGGTCCTGGGAATAACTGAGACCACTGTAGTCTGCTTTTCTGAGCAGTACCAGTAAAACACTTCACCACTTCCTCAGCAAACACTTTCGAGAAACTTTTAGCCTTTAAGGAACAAGAGGTCTTTCTCTCTGCTAAGCTCAGCCCTTGCTAACTAGAGTTGAACCCATTTCCATTTCAGTTGGGTTCTTTTTTTTTTTTTTTTTTTTAAAGATTTTATTTATTTGTCAGAGAGAGAGAGGGAGAGAGAGCAAGCACAGGCAGACAGAATGGCAGGCAGAGGCAGAGGGAGAAGCAGGCTCCCTGCCGAGCAAGGAGCCCCCGATGCGGGACTCGATCCCAGGATGCTGGGATCATGACCTGAGCCGAAGGCAGCTGCTTAACCAACTGAGCCACCCAGGCGTCCCTCAGTTGGGTTCTTGTAGAGCTGCCCTTTATGGGTTTGTGAAGTGTGCTGAAAAGGAAAGAAAAAAAGAAAAGACGGGACTGCTCTTAAGGAACCACAGGGCCTGGTTTGGCAGGGACCGGTAGCCATAGTCGCCAGGTGGGCCTGGATAACACAGGGCCAAGCTCTCTGTCCAGGTAGCTGGGTGAGGCTGGGAAGTTTCTGTGTGCTGAAGGTGGGAAGGGTTATCCCTGACAGGGGAGGGTGCCTCAGCAAACCAGCTTGGTCTGCTGCTCTTTGGCAGCTATCCCAGGCCCAATAGGGGCTGAGCCCCAGCCCTCAGGCCCCTATCACCCCAAACACAGAAACCATTGCTACCTCCTTATCCTAGATTTTCTTCCCTTTGGCCCATCCAGGAGCATCAGGCCTTATTGGTGAAGGTCAGGGAGGGGGAAACAGCCCTGGAGGAACTTCGGAGCAAGAACACTGACTGTCAAACAGAGCGAGAAAAGTAAGGGCCCATGTTCCCCGGGGAAGCTGGGGTGAAGGGAGGGGAGGGCGTGCCATGCAGCCTGAAGCTCCATGGCAGCCCGGCCTGGGGAGGAAGCTGGAGCTGATGTCAGATCTTCCAGCTCTGACTCACGGTGTGGCTCCTCTGGGTGGGGCCCTGCCCAGGGAGATACTGTTTGGGAGGCTGCCATCTTAGGGGAGTTCATTTTCCACAGAGTAGGAGCCTAAAGAAAAGGCTTCCATGGTGTTAGCGCCAAGGTCAAGTGGGAGCTGGTGAAGTTCCTGCTGTTCTGGCAATCATTCTACAGGCTGTCATATGGGATGCACGTGTGGTAGTATTGCACCACAGTTTCCGCCCCTCAAAACAAAGGCCGACTGGAAATTATTTGAGGGCAAATCAAATAACTTCCTCACAAGTCATGCTTCGAAAAATACAATGAGCATCTTCATGAAGAGATTCAGAACTTCCTGTCCCTTGAAGCTACTCCAGCTGAGAACCAGGGGTCGCTGGGATCCTTTCCGCTCCAAGATGTTCACAGATTCCCTCTGTTCAGAGATCCCAGGCCCTACCAGTGAAACCTATAGAGCAAAGAATGGGCCATTTTGGACCTTTAAGGATTTGGAAATTTTTTATGCTGCTGGTAATTAATAAGTAAGACCTCAAATGGCAAATCAAAGGTAACATCAGCATCTTGGGCCTGCTCTCCATTGTGTGAGTTGGATCTTTTTAAATTCAATAGACATCACCTGGAGGGCCTTCTAAGGCATTTCAAGATGAACAGACATGATCTTTTTTCTTTTTTGTTTTAAAGATTTTATTTATGTATTTGACAAGAGATATCGCATGAGAGAGCAGCACAAACAGGGGGAGTGGGAGAAGCCGGCTCCCCAGGATCATGAACAGCAGCCATAGCCGCCAGGTGGGCCTGGATAACACAGGGCCAAGCTCTCTGTCCAGGTAGCTGGGTGAAGCTGGGAAGTTTCTGTGTGCTGCCAAAGAGCACATAGAAACATCCTACTCCATGGAAAATGAACTCCCCCAAGATGGCAGCCTCCCAAACAGCAGGGAGCCCGATGTGGGGCTTGATCCCATGGTCCTAGGATCATGACCTGAGCCAAAGGCAGATAGATGCTTAATGAACTGAGCCACCCAGGTGCCCCTACGGACACAATCCTTGCCTGCTTGGACCCCACAGTCAGTGGGGAGTATCTTCCCTCCTTCGGGATAACCTCAGTCTAGGCATGGGAAATGCAGACATTGTATCGTAGCCTCCTTTTGTGCTCAACGTCATCACGGAATTGTTTTAAATTACTCACCACTCCTTCTTTCCCAGCAGTGGTACTTATGGGCAGGTGACTGAGAGGAAGCATCAGGAGAAACAGAAAAGACCCAAATAATCCAAAACTGAGGCTTGGGAATGGCACGAAATGGCTGTGCACCAAAAATGTTAGTTTTCTTAGTAAAAGGAGACTGGTCAGTAGGTCACCAGAGAGTTGATGGTGGACACTCAGACTGTGTGAGGCTTAGGGAGGATGTTAGGGCTCAGAGTGCATTACACTCCACCCCAACCTCACCAGGAGCCCTGCCCCACTGCTTCTTCAGGCAGGAGAGGAGAGAGATGGGTGCTAGCAGTCTGAACTCCTGGACACCCTGCCTGATCGCTGGACCTCTGGGGATCTTGGCCCAGTTGAGAAGATGCAGAGAATATATCAGTCTCTTGAAATCAGGAGATTTAGGAACACACTTGAATCTTATCTCCCTCTTGACACAGAGTCCTCTCCAACAGCTTGATGGCATTGGGTATCATACTCCCAGCTCCCACCCAAATCTTTCCAGGAATGAGGAGCTCATCACACCTGAGGCAGGGCATGTTCTGACAGCTTGAATGCTGAGAAGGTCTGTCCTGTGTTAGCATGAGGACTGCTTCCCTGGACATCAACCTGTCGGTTTTAGTTGTACCTTCTAGAACTTTCCAGAATGACTTATCCATTCTTACCTCTCTGAGCAGTAGTTCCCTTGTTAAGGCTAGCTGACCTCTAGCGAGGCTTCCACCGCACTGTTCCAAGGTGTCCCAAGCAGCTCCTCCTTGTGGCAGACCACTGGGGCATCAGGCAGAGGGGATCAGGGTCATGGATACCCCCCAAGCCCCAGGTTCTTTCTGTGACTGGGTAGAGAAGTGCATCTTTTCCCTTCTTGCCTCAGCTTTCTGTTCTTCCTGCCCAGGGCTGCCAACCTGGAAAAGGAAGTGGCCGGGCTGCGGGAAAAGATCCACCACTTGGATGACATGCTGAAGAGCCAGCAGCGGAAAGTGCGGCAAATGATAGAGCAGGTAAGCTGCGCCCGCGTCACCCCGTGCCACCCACCCTCTCGGGAAGTCACTACGTGGGGCCCGGCCCTATTTTCCTGTCAAGTCTATGCCTTTGCTGTTCATGCTCCTGGGGAGCTTGGCTTATAGTCCGTATATTAACACATTTATGTGGCACCTGGGTGGCTCAGTTGGTTATGCGTCTGCCTTCAGCACAGGTCATGATTCCAGAGTCTGGGAATGGAGTCAGAAGTTGGGCTCCCTGCTCCCGCTGACTCATTCTCTGAATTTCTCTTGCTCTCTCTCAAATAAATAAAAATTAAAATAAAGAACAAGGGAAAAAAAAAAAACAAGAAAAACATTTATGGCTACCAGTTACTAGGTTCGAGTGATTGGTATTTGCTTTTCTCCCATCTTTCCCCTTTGGCTTTAGTCATTTGCTTTCTGCTAGGAAGGAAGGAAAAGGTTAGTCTCTCTTAAATGTTGAAGAACACTGGTAAATGAATAATGAAGTCACAATAAAGTCACTTATCTGGGTGCAGATTATCAACCTTTGAGCCTCACAGCAGGTTTTCTGCCTTCCCCCACCAAACTCAGGATATGGTGTTTTGCAGAATAGTCTTCAGAATTTAGAACACCCTAACTGGGAGGGCATATTTGTTGCATGTCAGCTCCACAAGGATTAGGATTTTTCTGTTTTGTTCCCTGCTGTTTCCTGGTGTCTAGAACAGAGCCTCTCATAGTAAGCACTCGAGAAATATTTCTTTTTTTTTTCTTTTTTTCTTTTTTTAGATTTTTATTTATTTTAGAGAGAGGGAGCACAAGTGGAGGGGATGGATAGAGGGAGAGGGAGAAACAGGGTCCCCGCTGAGAAGGGAGTTCTATGTGGGGCTCTATCCCAGGACCCAAAGGCAGATGCCTAACCAACTGAGCCACCCAGGTGCCCCAAGAGTTACTTCTTCTTTTTTTTTTTTTTAAGATTTTATTTATTTATTTGAAAGAGAGACAGGCAGAGGGAGAGGAAGGGAAGCAGGCTCCCTGTTGAGCAGAGAGCCCAATGTGGGGCTCGATCCCAGGACCCTGGGATTATGACCTGAGCTGAAGGCAGAGGCTTTAACCCACTGAGCCACCCAGGAACCCCCCGACAGTTACTTCTTGAACGAATGAATGAACAATGTGTATTTCTCAACATTAAACGGAATGGGTTTTAAGCCATCCCTGATTTTGGATCGTCAGGATGGTGTTCTCACCACCCCTCCCCTCACACCTGGGATAATCAAGAGTTCAATATGGACTGAAAGGAGGCTTTTCTCGAAAAGCTAAGAAAGTCATGTAAGAGGTGCAAAAGTCTGCCTTTTGTTTCTGCTGGCTCCCCAACAGCAGGGGGAGGTTTGACAAGCATATACTGAGTCATTTTAAAATGAACCCTGTTGTCTCCCACATCTTTACAGCTCCAGAATTCAAAAACTGTGGTCCAGTCAAAGGACAGCACTATCCAGGAGCTCAAGGAGAAAATCGCCTATCTGGAAGCAGAGGTGTGTGCACTGGGCAGCCCTGGGAAGGAAGCAGGCTCTTGAAGACAGGACTGTACATAGGGAGAGAGATTCTGGAGGGTGTCTGTCCTGCCTGGCTGCTGCTCTGAAGTGAGCATCTGGGATCATTGTTGTGGAGTCAGTGCTTTCTGGAACCCTTCAGGGAGTTACGGTGGTGAAACCTGTCCCCATTCTAAAAGGGCCCATTATCCCGTGTCATGAGTTTAGCAAAAGAGGAGACGGCGAGCTGGGCTGTGAAGGGGGAGGCATTCCATAGGAGGTGGTGGCCTCGATCAGCTCATGAGTTCTTAGTCTAATTCCCCCCTTTCCTGAGAGCTGGGGAGGATAGCAGGGAACGATCAGTGTCACACAGAATTCTCAAAGGGAGGAAGCAGGAGTGAGAGCTGGAGGAAGAGGGTGGTCAGGCGTGGTGAAGATGAGGGAAGAGGGTACCCTGGTGGTGGCACGCACGGCAGGGGTAGTGGGGACCACAGCACAGGCAGAGGTGCAGAGACAATGTCACAGCTGGCCGACTCTGACCCCACAACCTGTATTACAGAATTTAGAGATGCATGACCGAATGGAACACCTGATAGAAAAGCAGATCAGTCATGGCCATTTTAGCACCCAGACCTGGACCAAGACCGAAAACCTGGGCAGGTGAGTGGGCGTGCCCATGGTGGGGCCTGGGTGAGGAATATGGGAGGAGGGACAGAGCTGTGGGAAGGAAAGCTTTAGTGCTGAGGCCAAGGACAAGGCTCTTTAAATCCTGCTTCTGCTCTCAGTGTCTAATCTGACCTGTTCTCCACCTGAACCATTTTCTAACCAGGTCGGAGTAGAGCCTGGTAGCACAGCCCCAGGGAGGCTCACAAAACAGCCTCTGGATGCAGATAGACCCTCTGAAATTGTTTGCAAAAATCATGAAGGTGTAGCAAAGTGTGTATTTCTAGAGAGAGGCCCTTTTTTTTCCAAGAGACTCACAGAAAGGTCCCAGATTTTGAAAAATCAAGAATCACAGCTAGACCCGCTTCTCAGCTGTTGAACTGCTCCCTGTTTTTCCGCCACCCCTATTCCTCAGATAGCAGCACCCCCTGCCCCTTATCTTAGACGCTGCTGACAGTTACGGTTCCGAAGTCTGAGAACCAAGAACTCAGCTGGCACTGACGTGTGGAACCCAGGGCCGGGTGGGGGGCCAGACACGGGAGGTGGCTGCGTGTGGGGCAGGCGACAAGCAGCACTCAGTGTTTGCCACTTTCTTTCAGCGTGAGGATATCCAAGCCCCCCAGCCCTAATAAGCCCATGCCTCTTATTCGAGTGGTGGAAACATGAGCAGAAGAGCTGGACGCTACTGTTGCCGCTGCTTCTCGCCTGCGGAGAAGCCGCCACCCCTGTAGGCTGCTCACCCCGACTTTGACTTCCTGACTGATCCCTGGCTACATTCAGGGCTGGGGGTCCATGTGCCCCACTGTTTCCAAGCTCCTGTCCCCTGTGTGCTGGGCAGACAGAGGATGCACACCCCTTCTGGACACTGCAGCCCTTGGAGGACGTTCACCCACCAGCGAGAGCCAGGGCAGTATCCTTATTCCTGTAGTTACTAGTTTTCTCTGTAGTAGAGCCGCCCTTCTCTTGTAGGCTGGAGTTCAGCTGCCCCAGGATCCAGGCCCTCACTGGGTCGGGAGAGGTGGCAAGATTTCCCTCACCCAGAGAAGCTGGAGGCACCAAGGTCTGCAGCAAGGGGAGGGTGTCCGGGGAAGGGGGAATGAAGTTCCCTCCACAAACGCAGTTCAGTTCTTCGCAACTCATTGTTTGTTTTTCCACTCACTCTGCCCTCAGCCCCTGCTGACCCATGCCTCCTACAGACAGACCCAGGGCGACCTGTCATGGCCTGGGGCAGAGTCAGTGAGCTGCAGCTTTGACTGGCCAGCCTTGTCTTCCTGGGAGAAGGAAATGTACATTCTGGGAGTAGCTTTTAGTGGAAAGGTTCTGTGGGGCCACAGGGAGTAATGTGTGACTTCTCTCTGCTGGGGAGACTCCCAGCATCTCTTAGGGTTTTCCCCTAAGATGCAGTGCAAGGTACACCTCAGTCTTTTTGACTCAAGAGCCTAAAAACTATTTCACTGGGTTACATTGATCTCAGTGAAACTCTCATTGTATTTATTTTGCTAAGTTATTGGTGTTTTCCCTTACATCTCACGATTGATTTAATACTAGTTTTATAGCCTTCTCTTGTGGTGTTTGGATTTGCTCCGTGCTGGGAAAAATGTGTTCCCACTGGACTTGTTGATTTCAGAAGTAAATCTTTCTCTCTTTTCCTTCTACCTGCTTCTTTCCCTTCCTCCTTCAAACCTGATCTGAACCTCAGCGCGGCAAGCATATTTGTCCTGAGGCTTTGGGGTCTGAGTGTGTGTTGTTTGAGGGAAAGGGGTGATCAGGACTCTTTTGGGGGAGGGATTGAGTTCTTCCCCTCAGCCCTTTGCACCCTCTGCTCCACAATCCATCTGTTTCCCTGGCTCTGAATGACCCTGACACTCATCGTGTTTTCTTTAGGGCTCTTCCTGCAGCCTCAAGGAGGAGATATTCGTCAGAATGTGGTACTACTGTAGGGCACAGAAACATTCAAAGTCAACATGGGTTAAGTCTTTAGGTCCTCTTTGGCTCAAAACCAGAAGCCCGAACACCGTGTTTCTGTGTGCTGGGATTGGGTGGACAGGCCGGGGCTGTCCAGAGTGCCATGCTGGTATTCCTCATTCACTTTCCTCATTTGTAAAATGAGGGGGTCCGGATAATTTCCATGGGCCCTCCCAGTTCTGATGTTTTTTCCTGTGGCATAGTCTTTGTATGGCAAACTTAATAAAATATGTTAAATGTGTCTCTTTGAGCTGCTGGCCTATTCCCCTGCCCCACCCCACCATCCCCAACTTTTCTGGGAGGATGAAAAAACATGATTTTAGTGCCTGTTGAAGCTGGGCCCCCTGTTGTCCACATCTGGAAGGTACGGGCCAAGCAGCCCAAACGCTAAAGGACTGTGGCATTCAGAGGAGTTAGAACGTTCCTCTGAAGCAGCTCAGCTTTGTGGGCTGGGTCTTCATTGTAGGAGATGGCCCCCAACTATGGCCCTATCTGAGGTGGTGGCTTTGTGGGAGCCCTACAGTTAGCCAATGTGTGTCCTCCTTGATGGGAGAGAAAAACTGGTCACAGCGGAGATTCTGTGTTCACTTAGAGATTCACCAATCAGCATGGGAGGAAGTGGGAACCACTCCAGGCCCTTTGTGGAAATGCCTAGCACTCTGGAAATGCTGACAGCAGCCGTTTAAGGATTCTGCGTTTGACTCTCTCTGGGCATCATTCAATTAGTCCACTGATCTTTTTCTTTCTCTCTGCCAAGAATGTAGTTGACTGCAGAGCCCCCTGGGGCATAGCCAAGTTTACACAAATCTTTCCTAGACCAAAGACACTAGAAATGCAGCTGCCTTTATTCCCTCTCGTTCCCCTTTCTCCTTCACTGGGAAGCATGGAAATTTTTCTCTTAGGACATTTCTTCCCCCTTCTGCTTGTCAGCAAATTCACACCCAAGGTTTCAGAATGCACTGGAAACCTTCCATTACAGACCCAGGTCTGTGTTCTGACGGTCCAGGGTTCTCTTCTTTCTTTGGCAGTCTTGCTTGACCTGGGTCTACCTAGACTGTGCTTGTTCACAGAGTATGAAGAGGGTGGAAGCCGGGTGGGGTTGCCTGTGGCGCCAAGACTTGCAAAGCTGGAAGGCAGGAGTGAATGTACTGCCTTACAGGAAAGGGATGCTCTCACCCAGAGCCTCAAGGGTTTGGTGGGATGAGCAGAGACTTGGATTGGAGATAAAGAAGTGGTCTGGAGACTAGAACTGGGGCTCTGCGAAAGTCCTGGGACCAAACCGTGCCTTCCTATATATTTGCCCCTGTCTACTTGTCTCACCATTGAAAAGGAGCAGGGGCTTGCTCCCAAGGCTAAGGAGGAACAATGGGAAGAGAAAGCGGTGGGAAAGTGAAAGGTCATTTATGTCTTAGCAACCTTTCCAATGGAAAGCGAGAGAGGGGAGGAGGACATGGAGCCCAGAGCCTGAGGAAGGGCGTGGTGAGCAAGCTGCTCCTTGATTTCAGCAATCTGTTTATTGCCTGTGTTAGGTCACTGGTAAGCCAACTCTTCTGTGCTGCCTGATGATTTTGTGGAGGGAAGATTGAATCTGCCCGCCCGGGACCTTTGCCATGAAGGCCTGTTTCTTTGAGCTGGGTGCTGAGGGCTGCCCGGACACGCAGCCGTCAGCAACCAGTTTCCTACAAACCTGGAGCATCAGCCCCAACGTGGGAAAAGCAGCTTTGCAGGAGCACTCCTCGGCTCCTGCATCCCTTCACATGTACCCTTCTGCAAACAGAAAAAAGCCCAAGAGGGACATGGTATTGCAAGCAAGAGGTGCTTGGCAACTTCTGGAATTTTTATTTCTTTTAGTTTTTATTTAAGTTCCAGTTAATATACAGTGTAACAGTAGTTTCAGGCATACAATTTAATGATTCAACATTTGCACACAACACTGGATGCTCTGCATTTCTTAATCCCCATCACTTATTTAACCGATCTCCCCACCCACAGCAACTTCTTTTTTTTTTAAGATTTTGTTTACTTATTTGAGAGAGAGAGACAATGATAGTGAGAGAGAGCATGAGTGGGGAGGAGAGGGAGAAGCAGGCTCTAGGGGGCTCAATCCCAGGACCCCAGGATCATGACCTAAGCCAGAGGCTGCCGCTTAACTGACAGAGCCACTCAGGCGCCCCTCGGCAATTTTTTTTTTTTTTTTTTTAACTAAATTTCTAAAGCCCGGGCGCCTGGGTGGCTTAGTGGGTTAAGCCTCTGCCTTCAGCTGGACTCGGGTCATGGTCTCAGGGTCCTGGGATTGAGTCCCTCATCGGGCTCTCTGCCCAGCAGGGAGCCTGCTTCCTCCCTGCCCCCACCTGCCTTCTCTGCCTGCTTGTGATCTCTGTCTGTCAAATAAATAAATAAATAAATAAATTTCTAAAGCTCAAAGTTTTTTTGGTCCTGGGATTGAGTCCCTCATCAGGCTCTCTGCTCAGCAGGGAGCCTGCTTCCTCCCCGCCCCCACCTGCCTCTCTGCCTGCTTGTGATCTCTGTCAAATAAATAAATAAATAAATAAATAAATAAATAAATATCTAAAGCCCAAAGTTGGTTTGCGTATCTTCATCTCTATTTAAAAGAATCTTTCACTATGAAATGTTCCAAGATTTACTCTGGAAAGATGCTCTTGATAAGATAAGGCTTAAAACAACTTAATCTGACCAAGGAGGGCAGTGTCCCTTGGGGAACTGAAGTGGCCTCTCCTCTTTAATGAGTTCTTCAGGATGTGTTGCTGTTTTCTGTGGGGCTTTTAATAATCCCCTGGGTTCCCTCATTCCTCAGAGCCAAGCATCACAGAGCTTGGGCCTGAGCTTGTTCAGGCTCTGACCGAACAGCAGATGTTAGCCTAGGGCCCTTGGCCTCTTTTCCCTGCTTCGATTTAGCACTCTGGCTTTACAAGGAGAAAGTGTGTCCTGTCTTCCCTGTCCCAGTTCTGAGCACCATGGCCTTGAAACTCAAAGTTGGAGACCTAAATAGTTCCTAGACCCTCCTCCAGGCTGAGGACAAAGGAGATGTTTCTTACAGGGAGTGATAGCTCTGCGTGCTCTGCAGGTTGGCAGTGAGACTGCTTTGAACTCTCAAATGTGTGTAGCCTTCCAGCCGCAACCTCTTCTCCCGCTGGAGCCTCCTGGGACGTGGGACTGAGGGTGGACGGTGACAGGATAATGCAGTTCCTGACAAGGTCTTGGTCACCAACTTGTAGGCCACAGGATCTCAGACAGCTGAGGGAAAGAAGTCACTCATCCCCATCACTTAATCTGCTAGCTCAGTGCTGCTTACACACCTAGGCCTTTCTTCCCTCTCCCCGGTATTCTGGGTACCGTGTCTGCAGGAGTTTGGGGACCCTTATACCTCTTCTATGTGTCTCTCTCTGTGTTTGTGTGTGTGCTGCCTGCTATGGAAAACATTATTGTGGGGGGAAAAATCTGAAAAACTCTGTCGTTTAGGAAAACCTCTCTTTTCCACCTATGTTTCCTCTGTACAACTCTCACAGGACACTTCACTTCTGAGGCTCCTGGTCACAGAATGGGTAGGCTTCCCCCTCTTCCCCACTGAGGACCCCTGCTGGGCATTCTGCAATTTAACCTCATTCTGTCACCATCTGCCCAGAGACACCAGCCTCTCCCTCAGGGTAAGTGCTCAACCCACAGGGCTGCTCCCTGTGTCAGATGCCAATCACAAGTAGCAGCTCCCCAGGTTCCCACAACTTGTGTCTGACTTTGCTACAAATGGGAGGTTCCCACAACCCCCTCTTTAGCTTAGATTAATTTGCTACAATGGATCACAGAACTCAGGGAAACATCGAAGTTTGCAGTTTATTACAGGACATGATAAAAGATACAGATGAACAGCCAGGTGAAGAGATACCGAAGGCGAGGTCTGGGAAGGTCCCAAGTGCAGAAGCCTCTGTCCCCGTGGAGCTGGAGGAGGGGTTGATGTGTGCCACCCTCCACGTGCGCATGTGTTTGCTGGCCTGAGAGCTCTTGGAACCCCATATACTATTGGGGGGGTTTTGGAGGCTTTCTCAAATGGGCATGGTCAGTTATTAACTCCCATTTCCAGGCCCTCCCTCTCTGAAGAATTGGGGATGAGGCTGCAAATGCCAAGCTTCTAATCACGGCTTGATCTTTCTGGGACCAGCTCTTGCCCAGGAGCTTGCCCAGAGTCACCTCACAAGAACAAAGATGCTCCCAGTGTTCTATCACTTAGGAATTCACAAGGGTTACGGGAGCCCTGTGTTGGGAACCAAGGCCAAAAACCAAATATGAGAACAAGAAATGTTCCCAGTGCTCTTATCAC